CACGGGAAATTCATTGCAAGGGCCGGGCATGTGCTCTGTACACGTTAGCCTCAGTCATTTTATTTCAGTGGAGCTGTGCCGGTCCTCTGAGAGCCTGGCACTCCTCTGAGAGAAGCAAAATCTGTGTGCCTGAATGTTATAGTCTGGGAGGAGCTGTGGGTGAGACGTGCAAGACTATGACAAGAGAATAGGTAGGGTTCAAATGCACTTCACTTCGCCGAGTTGGCATTGTAATTTCAGGGGTTTCAAAATCACTCATTTATATGGAGCAGTCTTTTGATTCTGTTCACCATATTTGAATATTAAACTAATAAACATCACTTGATAATTTACCGCTATCTGTGAATCAGTTCAAGGGGAGATGGCTGCATCTCACCACGCTCTGTTCTCTTTCATGCTTTATCACATTTTACCTACACTGAAAATATTATGGGTATTTTTGTTGTGTGCTTTCAGTTCAGTAACTCCATGGATGTCCCAGCAGGTTCGGGTCACCAATTTATCTAAGTGCTGCCACCTGGAAGTCTGGGGAGGATATGGTGGAGATCTTCTGTCTGCTTCGGTTGTATTTGTAATGAATCTGTTCTGTTTCTTGGAAGTTTATTTTTCTTTTTCCCCAAAATGTTATTTTGCAATGCTTTCTCTAGCCCTCGTGCCACGTACACAGCCCTGGGTGGCTTCTTTTGTTTTTTAAAGCGATCTGCTCAATTGTTATTGCAGTCGTAGCTGCTTAAAAAACCCCCAAATCTGTTCTGTAAGCTCTTTGGGGGCTTAATTGAACTCTTATGAAAATCACATTAAGCCTTACAGATGGCTCCAGTGGGCTCAGGCTGCACTGTAAATACAGAGCTGTTGCAATTACAGTAAGAATTGATGAGTTTAGATTCTTGGTTTGTGTAAATTACCTCAAATTGGTGGAGGCTTGGGCATTTTCACTATTTGGCTTCTTGATTTTTTTTTTTTTATTACACTAAATAACTGAAATGTTATGTTTGAGATTACAATTAATGCCAAATCCCACGCTCCTTGTCCAGGAATAAACACCCACTGTTACCTACAGAACGTTTAAGTGACTGGGTTGTCCAGACCTGTGTTCAGAAGGTGCATTTACTAACGGAGGGGACTGGTTTTATTCTTCACAGTTTTTCACGAGGAAGGTCTGGGGGTCTCGTGGGATGGAGTCAGGTGAGGGTGGGAAGTCGCCAGGAATGGAGAGCGGTAATGTGGAGACAGATTCTGAGGCAATGTTTGTTCTTCTTAAGGTACAGGACTTCTGGTGTTGAGTAAATTTCACTCAGGCATTGGCTATAAATGTGCTAGTCCATAGCTTGATGTTTTTTCTTGCCTGCAGACATCAGCGTATTTGTAGGAAGAGCTCTGCTGCCACTGAAGTCTCAGGCAGAATTTCTTGGTCCCTTCCTGCCTCCCTCCATCAGTTCTCTGCTCCCATCTGCTCTGTGCTGCCCTTCCTGCTCTGCAGCACACCCAGGTACCATGGACCCACCTGGGGATGCGTTCAGATGTGTCCACAGTGTCATCATAACCAAAAGTGTGTCACAGGGGCAGTTCCCTTCTCCATACTCCGTAGCATAAATCTTGACCCTTTATAATGCTTAGCAGCTACTCACAACCTGTCCTTACGTGTTTCCACAATATAACTACTGCATAACTGTTATGCATAAAAGCTGACTAATTAGAACCAAAGCCCTTTCATCCATATTTTCTCCTGGAAGTTGACGTCTGGTATACTTTGTTCCATTATATTTAATTGCATGGACTGTGGCACCACTGACCCTTAGCAGTATGTGAATATTCCACTGACTTTACAAACCCCTTGAGCATTATTCCCTACTTTGATTAATTAATGTTTTGTTCCCAGATTTGTCAAGTACAGCTGGTTTTTTTTGCAGAAGTTTTGCTCTATAAGCAGTTCTTTTGCTGCGTGTACAATGCAGCCACTGTAAGTAGCACTAAGAGCAGAGTTTGACCAGACAATTTTTCCTTTTTAGAGTGAACTGAAGCATATCAGAATCTGCACATTTCCAAGCAATAAACCCATGATGCTTTATGCACTGTCACTCAGCTCTCTTCATTTGTTTTGTTGCTTTAAGTTTTTGGTTTTCCTGGAAAAACTGTGGACAATTAACCTGTCAAATTGGCTGGTGATGATCTATGGAGCCCATAAAAATGTGTACATCGTATTCCTTGACATGAATTATGGGTTGTTTCTGCTGCTGTAGCAATATTTGCTCGACTATCTCTTTAGTTGCTTGTGTCAGGAAGCAGGGATTGAATCATGCAATGTTCTTTTCCTTCAAGAAAAGCAAAGAGGTTTACAGCAAATGTGGGAGTGTCGGTTGGGTGTGGGGTTGTGGCAGCTTCAGGGGACAGATATGAAGTGCCCTGTACAGGCATGCTGGATTCCAATCTACATGTTGGTCAAAGCCAAGACGTGATGCTCTTTTCTGGGTGATGATGGAAGGGGGAAATGATTTGATTTGGATGTATTCCAAGGCGGATCCCATTGCTCCGTGTGTGATTTATGGCACAGAGCACCACGTAGTCCCGTGTTTGTGGACTATGGCAATGCGGCGTTCGAAAGGGCACTGTCCCACCATGCAAAGCTGATGTTTATTTTAAATGAAGTTTATGATGAAGTTTAGTCTATAAACATTTTCTGCACAGCGGTTGGGTTCCGAGCATGCACATGGAGCCTGGCGTGGATCCGCAGAGCCTGCTGCATCCCACAGACCGTGGCCCTGCTGCCTGGCCCTGCTGCCTGGCCCTGCTGCCTGGCCCTGCTGCCTGGCCCTGCTGCCTGGCCCTGCTGCCTGGCCCTGCTGCCTGGCCCTGCTGCCTGGCCCTGCTGCCTGGCCCTGCTGCCTGGCCCTGCTGCCTGGCCCTGCTGCCTGGCCCTGCTGCCTGGCCCTGCTTTTGGTGCTGGCCTTGTCTGGAGCTATCAGCCCCTCTGCAGTGGGCTCTCATGGCAGGAGGGTTAACACACAACTCCCGCCCTCCAAGATGTTATTTTTTTTATTATTTCCTTAACTTAGAGCAGATAGGATGTAAAGCTTGGTGAGTTTAGGAGCTGGGGGAAGGCAGCTCTACTGCTGGGTGTTTGCTCTGAGCAACGTGAGTGCCAAGAGGCTGGAAAATGTCTGGATCCAGGCCAAAGCCCAGCACCCAGTGGGAAGCTTTCCATTGCCCTCACTGGGGCTTGGGCAAAGTGTGTCAGTGTTGGCCCAAAATGGACACATAGGGGATAGGTGAGGCTGAGAGATAGGCCTATCTGCAATACGTTTGTACATGCTTGTGACTGTCAAAAAAACTGGTTTCATCACTAAGGGGAAGAAGCAGCTCCTTGCAACACATTGGGCCCAACAACCGTCCTGAAATTATTTCATCATTGAAACAGCTTTGCAAGAAGGAGCTGATGTGTGGGAAATGGATGAACCAGGGGTTTCCATCTCAGTGCTCTGTGCCCAAGGTAAGGCTGTTTGCTGGAGGTGGCTGAGCTGGGGATGCCTTTGTAGCTGCCAGCAGCTTTGCTTATACAAAGCTGAGGTGGTGTTTGGATATCCCAGCCTGGGGTCAGGAGGAGTGCCAGGTTGCTCTCTGCCATGGCAGCATGTGAAGGAGCTCCCTAGAAACTGCCCTCTGTTTTCCCATGCAGCAAAAATGCAAATTGTGCACGTCAGCCTCCTGCACAGAAATAAGATTTGAAAACCAGTTAGCATTTCATGGCAGTGCAGTGACAGCTTGAAGACTTGTGATATGTCTCATTACAAGAGAGTTCCCCAGCTCATTCCCAGCTCTGAGCACCGAGTGCTTCATCCCCTAACTTTACAATATGCATGTTACTTGTAGTGCTTTCCAACTTCAAAGAGCTCGAAAAATATTCATGCCACCTCACAAAGGGCTGTGTTCTCACCGCCACTTCTCTGATGGGAGAGCAGAGACGTGCAGGAGCTGCAGCATGGCTGGCAGCAGGGCCGGCCCCAGCCCCACTTTGCTGCATGATTTCCCAAAGCACTGCGATGCGTCACCGTTTCAGATCTATTCAAAACAATCAGAAATTTTCTTTGCTGGATTGTGGCTTTTTTTTTTTTTTTTTTTTTTTGGTGATAAAATGGAGGACAGTGAATTGCAGAGGAAATGAATAGTTTCCTTTTCTCCTGCTTTTTAAACTGTTGGGCTGGAAGGAAAACAAAGCAAAACAAAACACTTTTTCCTACTCAAGGGGAGAAACAATCAGAAATACAGAATAGACTTTAAAAGCTGAACTGCCAGTAACCAACAGCCGTGGGCTTTGGGCTGCTTGGGGCTGTGGAACAGCACACAGAATCACAGAATGGCCCAGGTTTAAGGGACCTCAAGGATCATGAATTTCCAATCCCTCTGCCATGTGCAGAGCCACCAACCTCCCCATTTCATCCCAGCCCAGAGCCCCATCCAACCTGGCCTTGAACACCTCCAGGCATGGACGGGGCATCCACAGCTCTCTGGGCAGCTGTTCCAGCTCCCTGTGTTCCTCCAGGTGTGCACAAACAGCCATGCACCACTGTTGTGTTTTTGGGGCCAACTCTCCTGGGTCCCTTTCTTCTTGGCAACTGCCTTGAAGGATTTCTCCTGATGCGTAGTTTTACATACATACGCAGTGAGTGTTGTTAATAGGCCTATTCACGAGGCACAAATGAGAGCTCCAGTAAACACCATTTATGGAATTACACTGTAATGCTGGACTTAGAGGGGTTGATGGGCTGGGTGATTCATCCATCAAATCAATTTCCAGAAAATAGTGCTACCAGAAGGTTGTGCTTTTTATTGAGGGAAAATACCACTCTTAATGTTCAGTACGCCTTGGCTTTGCCACCAAAGTTTAAATAGAGCAGAAATTATATGTTGCTGTTGTTCTTTTTTTTTTTTGCTGTGCTTAATTCAAAAGAACGGAACCGTGTGGTGTAAGTCTGTAGGTTAAATGTTTATCCCAACGCTAGGCAAGGTCTTTTGTTCAGCTTTATTCTAACAGCTTGGTAGAACAGTGTAAGAATCTCCTTTGTGTTTGGGCAGTGAGCACCTCATCAGGGGTGTTTGGCACAGGGGGGGAGGTGGGCTCCCACAGGGCTGGAATTCTCCCTGATGGAGCTGCTCTCCAGCCCCAGCTATGCCCTGGGGAAGCCTTCTGCTCCATGACATGAGCTTCCCATGCTCGCTTTCCCCAGGTTGTATTGGCACAAGGCATCCTAAATGGCAAAACAGACTCTGGTAGGGGGAGGTGGAAGAGAGCAGGGCCTTTCACCCACAGTGCTGCGCTGAGTGCTCTCTCTTCTTAATATTAACAAAGGAAGGAAAGAAATGAAGCAGTAGTTACAATTGAACGTGCCTTGGTTCATTAATGACTTAGTTAACGGAGTGCACATCGTATAGTGAGATCCCGACATCTTAAAAAATACAAATGTTATCAAGATACTCTCTGGCTTCTCCCATGGCTGTGGGGAGCATCAGTGCTCAGGTTCTGCATCCATGCAGGTTTCCCAGGGGTTCTGGGGGAAGCGGGGCAACGCGATGAGGAGGAGGACGATTCCGAAGATGAAGAGCAGGACGAAGGCGGAACAGGCGCAGGCGAAGGACCAGGAGTAGCTGTACTCCATCCAGACTGTGTCCTTGCTGTCGATCATCCTTTTCACAGACTGTCTCATGACTTCCACGGAGATGATGATGCAGAGACCTGAAAGAGATGAGAGCAGTGGATAGAATAACTGGCTTCCAGTTTTCCATCCTTAACCACCTTTCAGCACAGCTGCGAGACTCACAGGTGAGCCATTGACTAGAACGTTTGAAGGAACAAAATGCCAGCAAATTCAGACCTCTGCTATCACCATGAGCACAAGTGTCTTGTTGAGCATTATATTTTGGGAGGGCTTGAATGGGAAACCTGAAGTGATGGAATAATTGCGTGTCTTATGGCATTTTTCCAAAGGTAGAATAAGGGCTTTATGGAGGTGATAGCTTACACCTCTGTCTTTCAGTCATTGTGGTACAACAAGGTATTAGTAGCTCTGTCCAAATGTGATCTTATTTTGGGGAGGCAGTTACATATTTTGGGCCTGGATCAGATGTTTGGCTTGAGCTTTCATGTGTTGCTGTGTTTAGAATAAATGAGATAGAACAGCGCGTAGCTCTGATTTAGACCAGGGCCTGCACTTAATGTGTCAGAAATGCCTCTTTTAAAGGCAGTTGGAAAAAATTCAGGCTGCTGTGTGATGCTGAGCTGGAGCAGCACACAGGAACACATCATCTTGTTGTGAATAGGAAGAAAATGCCACTCCCTGGGCACTTTGAGCAGTGTCTCCATCCACCCATTGTTTATCCAAGTTTCTCAGTGCTGTGCTATGTGCTGAGGGCAAGCAGCAACCCTCCTACCTGCAAAAGTGTAGAACATAGATGCTGGCTTCAGCAGGTAGTCCCTCTTCTTCTGGAAGGAGAAGAGGACGCAGATTGTTCCGATGATTGCAAAGCCAACGCTGAAGATGGCAATGGCTGCAGCTGAAATGCTGTATTCTGCCAGAGGAAAGCAAACACCAAAAGCATGTCAACGGCTGCACATTTCCAGTGTGTTTCCATCAGCTGTTGTGATTTTGTGGTAGGACACTCAGAAAAAAGTGTCCTCTCATTGCTGCAGAGAAGGGGCTCTGAGAAATCGAGTGTTTCTCTCAGGTAAAAGCAAAATCAAGAACCAGCTGCAAGACTTTGGAATGCAAAAGCCATAAAAACAGGGAGGGAAAGTACTTAGGAACATCCTCAGGAAGACCAAACGGTAGCTGTGTTGATCTGAGCAAGCTTTGGGCTGGAGCTGCTGCAGCTCTGCTGTGAAGCTGTTACTGCTGCAGGCTTACTGTGCTCCACGTTCATTTCTTCCATCCCTCCATGCTTTGCTCTCACAGCAGAAGAGCAGTTCTGTGCTATTTCTGCGCAAGGTCTGCAGGCCTGCACCAAGGCCCCACACATGATGCTGCTGTGTCAGTGTGGGATTCATGTGCTCCATAGGGCTCAACATCTGAGCAGGCAAATGAGGCCAGAGGTGACGTGTTGGCGTGGGCTTTATTTACTAATTTTTCTGTAAGGTAACGATTTCCAGCTCTATGAGGACTCAGCTTCTTCAGGGCATAGGATGAACCCTCCATAAGTGCCCTGCTGGATGCTCAGCTCACCAAGGAGTGCTCCAGACATTTTGCCCAGCTTTAATTCAGCTGTGTGGACGAGGAACAACTAATTGGGGAATTCAGACCTTCCTTTGGACACTGAGTTTCTTTTCAGATTAGCTTAATATTTAACACATGTAGCCATGCATGAACACCACAGTGCCTGATGATATTTGCCTTTCAGACCATTTAAAAAACCAAGTCTTCCAGGCAAAATCATGAGGGATCGTTTTGCCTGTTACTAATTAGCTCCCACCAAAATGTGAAAAGGAAAACGTATCGCTCTTTGTTCTCATGGCCACTATTTCTCTATGATTTCCCTAACGTGACACTTTTCAGCTGTCTTTACCACGTGCTGGAGCTGCCCCATGGACTTAATTCCAATGTGAAATCGTTCACTGATGTCTTCTTCCTTCCATGGTGAGGGCTTGAAGTGTGGCAGATAGGGGTGGTGCTGGGATGATGTGGGGTGTGCTGGCAGTGTGGGGTGGGATCTGATCAAGATTCCTCTCCTGCTTTCCATGAAGCCAGAATGGAACCCTCATTTTGGGGACCCTTTCACCCCTTTCCAGGCTGGCTGTGGCTCTGAGCAGCCTGGTCTGCTGGTTGGTGACCCTGCACGTAGCAGGGAGTTGAAACCAGATGGTCATTGTGACCCTTTTAAACCAGGCCATTCTATGATTCACCTCCATCCCAAGTGCTCCTCGGTTTGTGCTGTTTTGGGGAGAAGCTTTTTAGGGCTATTCTTACCTTTCTGGGTGGTGACTTCAAATATCTCCGAGCTCTGTCCGGGAGTGAAGTGCTTGAAGTAGGAGCAGTTATGAGCTGAGAGGAGAAAGGAAATTTAATTCTGTTCACTTGGAAACCACTGATAAAATGCAGCAAAATGGGATTTACTTTCTACCCATGTAGCAGACTTGCAGTGTTTTTAGGATAGGTACAAATGGGATCCCATTCTTGCTGCAGACATGCAGCCAACGCTGGATTTTTTTTTAGAGCAATAACAGCAGCAGGAGGCAGACCTCGAGGATTTGGGTCTTGATCTATCAGAACACTGCAGGAGGTGCTCAAGCAGCCCTGACAGCTGTGCTTCCCCAGGTGTCCTCTTGGGAACGCTTCCTGCAGAAGAGCAGCTCAGAGACAAAGCTGCTGGTTGGACACCTTCCCCTCACACCGCCGCGTCAGTCACACTGCTGGACCCCAACCTGGCAGCAGCACGGCTGGGACGAAGGGTGCCTGCTATTTATAACCCGTTTAATTGGAAGCCTGGAGGCCCGTGGAGATGGGAAGCAGTTGTTTGTAGGGAATTTGGCTGGAAATGTGCAACCACAGCGTTCTGCTGAGCACTGCCTGCGCTGTGCTGGGCTGGAGGGGCCTCCTGCACCCTGGTTTGTCCCTCTGGGATCACCAGCTCCTACCACCAACACCTCTGGTCCGTTCAGTAATGGAGCTAGCACTGGTTTCCGGGAGCCAGCAGCACAAATTGCATTTGTTGTTTATTCTCAGCCTTTCTTTCTCGTGGTGAGGAGGTAGCAGAGTACTCTGTGTTACCTCTTGGGTTCTTTTGTTTTTTGCTGTCACGTAAATGGCAGGTTGCAGAGTTACTGATTCAAGGAAGGTTTACTTTCCCTCTCCCAGGGGATAAGCAATTCTAAGACAGTGTTTTTGGGCCCATTAGTGGAAGATTCCTCGTAGATGCTGTTATCTACTTGTTTTAAAAGATGAATTTTATTCCATCTGCAGCTTCTCCTTGCTGAAGATCCAGTTGATGTTCAGCTCTGGCATCTCCTGACCTGTTCTATATTATTCCTGGAGGAAACATAGCTGAACTCAGACCTCAATGTCCAAAATTGCCTATTTTGAGGCCCAGAGCAGAGGCTGCATGCCGGTGCCTGATGTCAGTGAGGATTTGGTGACACGGGCTGGGGGATTCTTCAGCTCCTGTGCTAAAGGGAGATGGGATGCAATTGGCATGCTCCATCTTGGGTTGGTTGGCTGCCCAAACATGAGGTGAAGCCAGCAGCAGTGCAGTGGCTACACAGGGATCCAGCCCTTCACTCCATAAGGCTCAGTGAAGGGGAATGCACAAAAACCTCTCACAGGAGGGAATTGTCTACTGTGAATGTGTTGTTTTCCATTTAAAGACACGTTGGTGCACTGCTGAGCTGGGAATATCTTTATCAGCAAGATTCCCTGTTATTCAAGAGAACTGAGGCACTTCAGTCCCTCTCTGGTGCCATCATGAATTAGAGAAAAGCCCATTTGTGTCACAGCACATTTACATAATGGATAGGATTTAAATTGAGTTTTATAATGGAAGAAAATTCTGTGGCGATCTTTGTTTCTCTCCACCCCTTAATTACATTCTCTCTGCCACAGGTCATATGCTGATGGAACAGCCCGTGGGCTCTGCAGTCATTTAGGGCCACTGTGAACTTTGGGGACATAATGTGTGGTTTATCACAAACTGTTCTTCCTGCTCCAGGGTCACCTGCAACCCTCCTGGCCCCTTCCCTTTAGAGCCATCATTGCTGGGGGGACACGGTTGTTCCCAGTGGGGAACAAGGCAGACCTGCTGGCAACCTATTTCCTCTGATACATTTCCTTTCTATTCCAGATGCTGGCATCCATGTTCCCGCACTTACCAGCTTGTCTTTAGCCTGCTTGCAGCACATGTGAGCTACAGAGCACCCATCTCTGCTGCTGCCCTGAGCTAGCAGGACACTTTTGGGCTGTCCTGGAGGTGGATGTGAGCTGTGTTGCCCCAGCAATGCACTGCCCCAGTGTGCTTCTGATAACAGGTGAAAACATCTCTGTATTCACCTGAATTTTCCCAGCTTTTATGGCCCTTTCCTCGATCTTCATCTTCTTATAGTAGGACACTGAATCCTTTCCAATTTGTCAGCATCCTCGCAAGAGTGCTGTAAAATTTTAAAGTCCTGCCTAAATCACAGTTCTGCTCTGTGGATTGCAAGCCAACACATTCTCTACTTTTTGAGCTGTGCTGAGCTCAAAACCCAATAAATAGTGCTAATTGTGCCATCCGTTTCTTTCTCAGGGAGTGGCTGCTAAATGCTCATTAATGCAGTGATAAATTCTGATGTTTCTTTTCCAGCCCTGGCAGTGATCTCTGACCATGTCTCATGATTTACAGGAAAACCAACGTCTGCATCTCCACTCCTGTTGCTCCATTTGGGTTTCCCTGACGGCTTCAGGCTGCACAGCTGCTCTGTCCCCTCCATGGACTGAGACCAATCCAATGAGCACACTGAGCATTGAGCAGCCCCAGCCCATGGGGCTGTGCTCTGCCACCTCCCCATGCTGTACGAAAAGGGGATTTGGGTGTTGTTTTTATGACAGAGGTGAGAATGCAATGAGCTCTGAGGTCCCCGATGCTGCTTATGGCTCAAGATATCATCCAAAATGCCAAGTATTTTTAAAAACAGCGAAAAAGCTGCAGGCTGTCCAGTGTGGGGCTCAGCTCCCTGAGGTTCTTTGCAGATAAAGGCAGTGCTGGGCTGGGGCTCAGCACTCTGTGAGCACATGCTGATGTCTGTCAAAGGCAGGAGCTGCTTTCGTTCTGCCCTGGACGTGAAGCTGCTGTCTGCAGACAGCTGGATATTTATGGGCTTTATATTTACCCTGCGGTTGTGCCATTTTAGTGTTTATAGACCAATTTCTATGGTTTTCCTTCTGTGGATGCTATGCTCCCCACGTGAGGAAGGGTGAGGAAGGGCAGAGTGTGAGCAACGTGCTCCTGGGCACACAACCACCTCTGTGAGAGGCAGCAAATGACACACTCCCAAATTTGGTTCGAGGCAGATCTGAGCACTGCGACTGAGCCCCGCTCTTCAGAACACATGATTTGGCCAAATAGGTAAAGAACTGTGGTAATTCCAGCAATGTACAGCAAACACGGGCGCTAAGATCGTTCACAAGAAGTTTTCGAGTATATGCTAACGTATATATTTCATTTCAAGCAGCGTAGCTGACATGAAGGCAGCCTGTTTTTTCTGTTCTGGAAGTTGTCCAGTTCCCTATGAGCCTCCTGCAGCACAGCCACGGATGGGAGCGTCAGTGCACGCGGCGCGAATGTTGCTGACTTGGCACCGCAGATGGAGCTGAGCCCTCTCCCCATTGACTGCACTGGGGCAATATGGGGAAGGAAGAGTGCAGGGTGCAGCAAGTTAGTTTTGAACTCCTTTTTGGAGCTTATGACTCCTTTTTGGAAGCTGGCAATGTAAACGGCAGCTCCCTGCCCTGAGAAATGATTCTTCTTGAAATTGCTTGGGGATAATCTCATGCTGGCCACGAGCAGGCTTAGGGGATCCAAAAGTGCAGCCACGTAGTTGGGCCCAGTCCTATAAACCCTCCTTCTGCCAAAGCTCTGCCTGCTGCTGCCAGTGCACCTGGGTGCTGTGGGACGTCAGCAAAGCTCGCTCCATCCCAATTCCCACCATGCTCGACCCTCTTCCCCTCCTACCCTGTGCTGCCATTGCACTGGAGCCGATGACACAAATGCAGCCACAAACACTCAGCTCTGTGCAGCCCCGTGGGCCACGTTGTCTCCCCACAACGTCCCGCAGCCTCCCAAGCAAAGTGCCACACAAGGGCGGCCGGCCGCACGTACCTCCAGGCAGGCTGATGGGCCCGCAGCCCGTCTCTTTGGCACCTTGCTTCTGCACATGAATCCGCTTCGTGCAGAGCCGCCAGAGCCCAAAGTGAGCCGCCTCGCAGGTAGCATTGAAGTCCTCCACCCTGGGGCTCAGCACGGCCCAGTGGTCCGTCACCACGGCCGCGAAGAGCAGCGAGATGCCCACCAGCAGCACGCAGAAGGTGAGCCGCACCTTCAGGGCTTTGGTCTCGTCCATCCCGCGCCGGGATGTGGCTCCTGGACCGTCTTCCCCTGGGCCCTGCTTGCCTGCAGCCTCCTCACGCGGGCTCCCGTCGTCCTGGCGCGTCTGAGCCTCTGCAAATGTCAGCCCCAGCTGCTGGGCTGTGTCAGGAGGCTATTAATGCACAGAGTGAGGAAAGCTCAGCTTTCCACCCCGTTCCATCCCGCGTTTGTTTTGGATTCCCACAGCCAAGCGGGTGCTCCTTCGGAGCCGCTACCGCCACTGAAAGGCTCCGTTCTGCTGACTTGCAGCATGCCCAGAAATAGGCATTAACGGGATGATTAACTTTTCAGCTAGGTTCTAAACCATCTGTGTTTATAATAGCGGCGGAGCTGCGTTCAGTCTGATCCTAAATAGCTTAATAACAGAGCCAGAGCCTGCAAAGTGCCTGCACACGCCGGCAGCTCGTGGCTGTGTCTGCTTTGGAGCCGGGTGCTGGCAGAGGGGCAGGCTCTAAAGGACGTGCCAAAGGAGCCAATTTATCTATTGTATTGCTTGCTGTGACTCATATTGACTCGTGAAGGTATTTTGAGATGTCTGAAGGAAGGTGCTGTGGTTCCCTCCAGAAGGAGAGAAAGGTTTATATCTAGTTTAATTTCTGAAATATTGTCAAGTTATATTATTATAATGCCACTGGAGAATGGTTGGGAATAAATGGTATCTGAAATCCTTTCCATCCCAAACCATTCTGTCATTCTATATTCAAATGATATGCTCCAACTCAGAGGGCAGTGAGGAACTGGCAGTGCTGCCCGGAGGGGATGCAGATGTTCCATCCCTGGGGGCACTCAGGACTGGGCTGGATGGGGCCCTGGGCAGCCTGAGCTGGTGGGGGACTATCATGGCAGGGGGTTGGAACTGGATAATTTTAAAGGTTCCCTCCAACCTAAACCATTCAATGATTCTATGACTGGTTCTATGAGACACAAAGGTTTGGCATTCCTTCAGGGTTTTGGGTTTTTTTTTTTTTTTTTTTTTTTGCTGGAAACTTCACTGAAGTTGATTCTATTTCACATTTCTTCTACCTCTCCCTTGCCCTGAACACAGCCCTCAGCTCTAGTTTGAAGACTGAAAGAACCTTTGCCAATGGCTGCACCATGCTGCACCCATGCAACAACAGTAAAACACTGCAATTTTTCACATAGATGCAACTGGAAACTTTTGCTGCCTTCTTTTTTTTTTTTTTTTTTTCCTGGTTTATTTTCTCCTTCCCGTTGATATTCCAGTTGATTGTAGAACTGATTTGAAGATAATGTCACTGCAGAGGCCACTGTGGAGGTGACATTCCAATTGTGATGTCAAACTGATGGGGGTGACAGTACCTGAATGTCAGAAGGGTGGTTAAAAAAATGTCAGAGGAAATCTGCAAATATCGTGTTATCATGTCAAGATAATGTCAACGCTGCTCCGCCGCTGTTTTAATGAACACCCCAATTTGGTGTCAAAATAAAGGTGCAGAGGTGCCAGATCAGATTAATGAGGACAATCTGAAGCAGTGAGTTAAGGGTGAAGGGTGAGTGTGGGAAAGGGGAAGAAAATAGAGCTGAAAAATATTCTTTCTAAGTAACTGGAATTGAAATGAGAATTTGCCTCTTTGGCAGCAGCTGGAAGTTCTTGCTGCTGAGGCAGCCCAGTGCTGGGTTGGACCAGCTCTGCCCCAAACGTTGGCTTTCCAGGGGTGGCAGCACGTATCTCCCTGGCTGAAAGAATTATGTTTCAAATGGCTGATGGCACTGTGTTTTCTGAGGCATAAAAATGCTATCATGTCACACGGAGGGAAATATTAAAGGCTTACATTTCTATTTCTTAACTGGAGCCAGGAGTTCTCGTGAAACTGGAAAAGCCTAATGGGAGCAGACTTGAAAGTGGAAAAGGAGTGCATTAACAACGTAATGCCTTTTTCTTTTGAAGCAGTCTCTTGTTAGATTTCACTGGGCATCAGTCAATCTTCAGAGCTGCATCCTGGCTGCAGACATGAGTGCGTGTTTGCAAATGTGGGCATAAAGAAGTGCTTTGGTTGCTGAGGAAGGAAGTGCTAATGATCATGCTTTAGACTAATTACATCCTACAAGGGCTGCAGGAGAGGGAACTCATTGCTGCTTTTGTTGCTGTAGATTTTTATGTCTCTTCCAGTGCTGGCAAGGATCATGCCTGCTGCTCTCATTCAGGTACTCTGATCTGGATTGTTCTTCAGAATTTGCCTTTTTTAATTTTTTGGGGGAGTGGTGGAAGGGGGTGGTGGAAGTGGGGTATGAATTTTGTTAAAAACATCCAGGAAATAAAGAGAATGAATATAAAGAGAATGAATGAAATAAAGAGAAAAATTCACCCTTCCCTGGCCAAAAAGTGTGATTTGGTGCCACTGGTTCCTGAGAAAAGGAACTCCTTGGTTGGATTGTTCTCCCACAGGCCCTGTTCTCCCCAAACTTTGTGGGATTTCTGGACAAACATCCAGTGAAGCTGAAACCCAGAGGGGTAGAAGGGCAGCAAGGAATGGCTCTCTCTGTCTCCCTGTGTCAGCTGGGCAGCATTTGCCTTCAGAAATCAATATCACATGAAAAATAAACAGAGCATTAATGAGGACCTGTTGGGAAGCAGGGAGGGCTGTAATTAGCGGCACTTAGCAGCAGCAAGTGAAAAAGTGAAAATGACACTGTCATGTTTCTTCATTATAGAAAATGATAAATGATGTCTCGTGACCAAGCGTTGCCTTTTTTTGTCCCAGCAGAGGTGTTGGCATGGCTCTGCTCCACAACATCTGCACCATTCTGCATTTTGTGCTGACTGACCTCTGTTCACCATGAGGGCATTAAGCAGGATCTGCAGCTCCCTTCTTGGAGAAGACTCTCACCAGGTGACAAGGGCTGAGGGTGGAGCAGATTGGGCACGGCCTGAGGCTGAAATCCTCACAGACGGTGAGAGCAAAATGGGTTTTTTAATATTTTTTTTAATAGAAAAAGCAGCCTGCTGCCCATCTGCCAGCCCAGCAGCCCCATGGCATGCAGTTCCCTGCGGGCTCCAATCCTGTGGGCAGTGCTTCCCTCTTGGTAGTGCTGCCTGCAGTTCTGCTGGGGCTGTAAGATGAGGTGTAGAGCACTCCTAAGTCCATTTTATTTCCAGCACCTCCCATGTTGATTCATTTTCTCTTTCCTGAGGAAATACCACATCCTCCTCTCTCTACCCTTTTCCACTTTCTACAGCCATAAGGGCTCTACCTTGGCTCCCCTCTCCACAGCCTCCCTGTTTGTGGTACCTTGTGTAGCTGTGAGCACTGGGGGCTGCAGGTCTCTTGGTGTGCAGGCACACGAGCAGCTTTCTATTGAAAGACCATCTGGAGGTGTAGGACATAGGAAGGGAAAGTTAAAAGAAGTATTTGAGGAAGACACTCAGCCAGCAACTAAAGAGTGTGCATCATCTGGTCCACATTCAAGCTGGTAACGAGAATCTTAGAATCTAGGAACTAGAAGGTTTTTTCTGAAGTTCCTACCCAAATGTTTGGAAGTGTTGAAGAGGTGGTTTATCCTGGGTATTTCTTGGTCTCTATGAACACAAGACTGTCCATACCCTTCCAGTAACACTAACTAGCTGCTATCAAAATAGGTAGAAACATGAAAAAAAACAACAATGCAGAAATTTCATCTCAGAGAATCTGGAAGGTGAGAATCTATATATCTTTCTCCAGGCAAACCCAGATATACATTTAAAATGGTTTATTTAAAAAGGAAGGATTAAGTACATTATACACGGTTGTGATTACACCAGCAGAACTGAAGCACAGTGGCAATAACACATTAGAACTGCAGACAGAAATGCAACCTCAAGGGATGTGATATATTAGCCCTTGTGGATTTGTGATCCATACAGAAAGGAAATATAAAAAGAGTTTACTGTTAGTAGTACGGGCACATGAAGTGATTTCTCCTATTCTGTATGAGAAACCAGGAGGAGAGAGCTGATGAGATACCCGAAATTTGTTTCTCAGAAAATGGAATCTGCTCCAATGGCATTTCTGCTGTTGCGGTATGCTGTAGGCTATTTCCAAAGGACCGGCTGTTGTTAATGATGGGATGATGATACCTGCAGGCCTTACTGAGAAACCAGGGCTGATCTGTGTTAGATGCTGTCCGGGGATGAACAGAGAGGTGTGGAGAAACTGAAGGTTTATTTTAAGCTATCGTTGAGTGCTTTCAAAGTCCAACAGCAATCCAGCGCATTCTGATCGACCCTGTTCACCTGGAGGGATGCCACAAATCACTGTTTTGTTGGAATCAGAGTTTTCTCCAGGAAAAGGGATTTATGGAGGATTTTTATTTTTAAATGGAATTGTCGAATGTCACAGCTTGTTTTTGGCTTTGGCTGAACAAGGCAGTGTGCTGCAGTCTGACACAAACCATGACTTTTGGGATATGAAATCACTGCCCTGTCCTCCCCCAGGATGTGCATCCCAATCCCCATCACCTCCCAGTGCCTCGAATCCCTGTCCCAGCACCATCTCAGGGACACAGCCCCACTCTGAGAGGATTCAAACACGTTTACTCCAAATGAAGATAAAAAGAACAAAACCAAGGCGCAAAACGAACCTCACACTGTCCACTTTCTGTTCAATGGACATGAGTTTAGAACAAACAGCCTATATCTATCTCCTGGTTTGAAAGGGAATGGTTTTATTCTTAATTACAGTAAACACGGATGGGACTTATTTCTATTAGTTTATTAACACAGTGGGAAACAAATAGTTCTGGGAAATTGCACTTGAAAAATACATTGACTATAATTAGATGTAAATTAATTAGCACTTAGTATGACGCACTAATGAGACAGAAGGTTTTTTTCATTGCAAACTTCTACTTCTATCATAGCTAATCAAAGTATTTTAATATTACGAAGTCTCAAAAAGTAGGAAATAATTTATTGTTTGAAAGCATAAAGATTCTTGTAAAAAAAACCTTTCATCAAGAACTTTAATAATTTTAGAATTCTTTTACGTTGTCCTAGCCGAAAAGTAGGTAAAAAAGTTTTCTCATCTGCCTCTGTTTGTGTATTTTTAAAAAGCTCGTGTAATACCTTTCTCCATAGTGTGTTGATACAGAAAGAAGCACGGTGTTTTCTACTTCTTTTCAATAGTTCCCATCACTCCGTTCATATCAGCTCTCAGAGTTCAGAGGTCTGAAAAAGGATCCCAGCAGAGTTTTAACCTGAATGGAAATTCTTAACAAGCGGGGATGAAGGCTCCAGCCCACCTCCGCTGGATGGTTTGCCAAAATCATGCTTTCCATCATCTGCTGCCATGAGGGCAGAACAGAGCAAGACAGCGACTAGGGGAAGACTTGCGCTTAGGACTGAGCATTGTCTCGGTTCTTGCAAGGAGAGAGGGCCAAGCAGGGCTTAGGTGGGAGGGAGAGGTTTGACTTATTGGGTTGTTAAGGCAGCTCCCCCAGGGCTTTGCTGGAGGACTTGGTTCCACTGGCTGAAAGCCTCGCATCCAAACCACCATTGCATTGCGATGCCGCGGCCACCACAGGGTGAGTTAAGACTAAGGAGGTTGTAACAGCTTGGCTGAAATCTCTCACTGTCAGCTTCCCAAGTCATGTTCTTTCCTTGTCATCACTTCTCTAGTCTCCAGGTAGAAAAGATTTTCAGGGTGAAAAAGATGGATGTGTTCAAAGCAGCCTACAGGAACTGGATGCTCCTCTCTCATTGCAACTAACTCGTTCAAGGGGAACCTGGCACCTCGTTCTCGTATGGCTTGGCTGAATGATCACTAAAAGAGATGTGAGTACTGTTAAATTGAATTACCTTCAAGTCAGGACCTTGAGATATGAGAATCCAAGCCTAGGTGTAAAAACAAAAACAGAAATTTAAAAGAAAAAAGAATTCGAACTCTTTTAGAAACATATAGAAGCAAAGGGTGCAGACCAGTCTCCCCCTTAGGAGATGCATAGAGTTTCCTGTGGGCTCTCTGCACATAAGTAGAATCATCATTACAAAATAAATTAAATTAGGCTGAACCATCATTTCCATCTAAAAGCAATTATACCTTGCACCATGCGGCACTTATTCATAATAAAAAGAGTTTAATAAATATCTCATAAATGGTGATTGTTTTTTGTTCCATTTCAAAAAACACGAAGTCACCATCCGTTCCGTCAACGCTCAGCTCCCATTGCTGCAGGATGTGCTGCTAGTCCAAACGTATCAGCTTCTCATCTTCGTACACGTGTTGCTCAGATATCTTAGTTTCCAGTAGCGTTAGTGTTGCACTTGTGAAGCAGTAAGGAAATGGGGGCTGTGGTCGCAGGCTCAGCCCTGCTCCTCACCCTGGCTGCACGCAGTCCGCAGGGGCCTGCTCCTGGCAGACAGCACTCAGCACCTCGCCGGATCAGGCACTAGGGCTAGTCGGAATGAGAATTCAAGTTTTCTAATTGTTAGGCAAGAAATGATATTTGCAAAGATGCTCAAGTCCCACCTACCTTAGTCCCTCCCTTGCTAGGCGCTGGGCAATGCACCCACCCTGTTCTCCCCACCCGTGCTGCCCGGAGGGGTTGCCTTCCACCCCCAGGTAGGAGACCCCTGGATGCCCCATCAGGGAGTCTGTAATGTTCAGCACATGAATGATCTACGTGTTCAGTAGCGCAGGTCAGTTTTAGATGGTGTTGTCTTCAAAAATATCTTCTATATATTTCTTTTTTTTCTTTTCTTTTTTGGAAGAGGCAAAGCTCACACTGTGTCAAAGGGGAGCAGATCACTGGAGGACAAGTTCATATCCTTGGGCTTGGTTGTAAATTATAGTTGCCAGTTTGTAGTAAGGGATCTCGATTTAGAAAACAGTTGTACAACAATTCTGCGACCCTTGAAACACACTGGTGGCAAGTCCTTTGCAGCTTCTCCAAGACTTTGTACACATTACAAAAGTGCAGGGACATGAACTACCTTCATCTCGTGACACCAAGAACTGAAAGAAACAAACTCCAAATAGCTTTGAAAAAGCTACAAGCGTGTAACATCTTTATGTTGGTCCATAGGATCCCCACTTGCTGCCTCAATACATGCCACAGTTAAAGAGGTGAGAGGGTATTTTAACATCGCTCCTTCTCTTTCATGACAGGTCTGTTCTGATATTTTTTCCAAAAACCACAGGGAGGGAAGGAACTTCAGACTGGTGTTGTTCTCCTGTTGACCATGTTGACGTGGAGTCCTTCCTTAAATTCCTTCTGAAGGAAGTTGTGGACCTGCAGAAAACTGGCTTCTTGGTCTGCGTTGTAGCTGGCGGCCGTTGTGACCTTCAAGGGCTCTCTGGACAGAGTGTACATGGAAATCTCGTTCATGGGAATGGTGCTTGCTATCTTCATGCCAACCGGGGAAATGTCTCTAGATGGAGAAGGCTCTGTGGATCGAGAACTGGACCTGGACCTCCGCCTCCTGTACCTGTAGCTTGGCATCCTGGCATAAGGAGAACTGGAAGAAGTCTTAAGGAATTCCCTCTTGGTCTTAAACCTCAGCTCTTTGTTCTTCTCGATATAAATGTTCACAGCCAGAACACCTATGGTTTCGGCCACGATAAAAGACAAGGCTCCAAAATAGAAAGACCAACCGTAGTTGTAATGGTTCTTTTTGTCCTCATCTCGCTTATCACTTGGGTCACCTGCATTGCTTGATATGTAGACAATGATCCCTATGATATTACTTAGTCCTAGAGAGAGAAAAACAGAAGTCAGCTGTCACGTGGCTGGGAAATTAAAAAATTCAAGCCATGTTACCTTTTAGACAAGAATATTTCTAAGACTATGACCAGGAAATTTCATTACATTACATTTACTCTTAACTATCCGAAGATTTCGTTTGTCCTTGAAAAACAAAGAATGTCGTTTTCACGGTTGCTTGAAAAGATCTTAAAGGATTCAGCAGGATCTGTCCCCATTTCTTCACTGACATGATGAGAAAGAAGTAGCGTATGGGAACTTGCTAATATTGTTAGTAATAAAAATACATTTTGAGCTCAGGGCTATGGCTGTTCACCTTCATCAAGACAAGTTCTCTTCCACCTTGCTGAATTTCCATCTGAATGCAGCATGCTTAATGTGAGCTTCAGGGAAGTCTATTAACAATGTGGATGACTCTCTTGGACGTTTCTAATTTGGAAAGCATACTCACCTAGCATAGGTGAAGTTTTTCTGCTCTCATATCAGAAGAGGAAAAAAGGGCCGGGATGTAAGAGATGCCTGATTCATGCTTCCATTCAGGCATCTTGTGTTTAGTACATTTTAAGTAGAGCAAAAACTGGATGCTACAAGCTTTAGCTTCCTGCAATTTCTTTTTCAAGAAAATGATAGTTTCTCAAGAATTCGCATTTTGAAGAGCTTCAAAAACATTTCTTTTTCTTGAGAAATTTGCCCAATATGAGGTTGGTCATGCCCTCAACCCAGGAAAAGGATACAGGAAGAGATGTGTCACCCAGTTGCTCCATGTGAAAATCAGCCCTAGAAGCAAAGCTTTGCAGCCAGCCAGAAGGCTTGACCCCACTTGTTTTCCTTGTGCTTGCCTTCATCGGCAACAAAAACAAGATTTCCTGATTTGGATATGAGCAGCTCAGCAGCATAAAGCTGCAGGAGCACATGACACCCACCTGCAAGGAAAACGGCTTGAAAGAACTGGGATTCTGGGGAAGAAACTCAGGAAATTGAAGAACTGTGGATGTGATACAGTGTCCTTCTCTCCTAGGTGGGCTGGGAATCACCCCATGGTATTTTTGGCCTGGCCAGGTCATGCTGGGTTTTGCTGGTGGCTTCCCCACAAGATGAAGCTGCACTTATGCATATTTCAATCCTAAAAGGCAGCCCTTCTTAAGGACTCAATTTAAGGAGAACATACCTGCTGCGACAAAGAGAATTCCAGCGCTGAGAATAATGTTGTTTTTGCTGTTGTAAATCCTCCCTGCTCCAACACAGAGCCCTCCCAGCAGCAGCAATATTGTGCTTAGGATGGGGAACACACTGGAGGCACGGACAATGCCTGCAGGGGAGATAGGAAGCAAACACAACAGACAGTAATCATTTCAGATGCCTCCTCAGGTGCTGCTGTGGAGACTGCAAAGTCTCCAAACCCCAAATTTTGCTGCAGTTACCACTGATTCTGCATTTGTGGGCAGGTGTGGGGGAGCCCAGGTGGGTGGCCAATGTAGAAGGGCAACCTTCATTTGAGCAACATCAATCTCTCGAGTTTCCTCCTAGGAAATCCGATGTTTTTGCCTTAATGTGATGCCACCAGAACATTTCTGATGAAGCATGAGGTAAATGACAGCCAGCATCACGCAGCGGGCAGCACTAAAATATTCATGAACTGGTGATGAACTGTGCACTGTTTGGGGACAGCCTCACCAGAGGGTCTGCTGCTGTGTGTAAGGTGAGCAAAGCACGGCTCTTGGAGTTTGCAGCATTTGTGTTAGCAGTGAGATAATTACTCCTTTTTTTTCTTCTTCCCTGTTGAGTATTTAGGACTTTGAAACCTTTCAGGTTTCTAAGGAGGAAATTTTAACAAGTATATCTCAGACGTTTGTGTTTCATTTCCTGACAGCTAAATGGAGTCAGTTAAAATTCCGTGTGCTTCAGCCCGTTCATCAGTATGGGCTATAAAATCCCCGCACAAGGATCTAAGCCACTGATTCTAGCCAGCCTTCAGGCCCTATGGGACGTTATGGGGCACTATGGGGCAAGGCAGCAGCTGAAAGTGGAGCAGGCAGCACTAGTGTCAGGACATGCACAGGGAGATGGGGGACCCCCAGGGCTGCGGGTACGAGGAGGGAAAAGCTGCCAGCAAACAGCATCTGGGGCCATGGGCTGCTGCAGTTCCCCTCAGGTGCCATCTTCCTGGGGACACACGGTGCTGCTTCTCAAGGAGGAATGGCCAGATGCTGCTGCTGCTGATTTCTCATTTGACTTCTGATGGCGGTGGCGTTGCTAATTTAGTGAATTGCTTTCTAACGATTCCCCTGGTGACCGGTGGCAAAACTCCCACAGATTGCAAGAGGAACAGGGCTGGGCATTTAATAACAGCAGTGCTTTTGTGTGTGCTGCAAAGCCCCCGGGAACCCCAGCGACAGGCCCTGGGCTCATTAGGATGATGCAAACATAAAGCAAAGAGACAGTCCCTGCCTGGGAAGCTTGTGCCCGTATTGATCTGCCACTGTGTGAAAAGGACATCTCCTACCAATCCTGGCAACGCTGCTGCACGTGTTCTTTGCTGACAGGGAATGTTCTGGCCGGATTTAACCCAGCTCAGTTGGGTGCTTTCCTGTTTAGAATGAGTTTTGCAGTAATTGGCAAACCCAAGGTGTGAGGGTGTCAGGTCACCGATGGATGCAAGCTGAGTGCTGAGAGTGCATTCTCTTGTGCTGGGTGCGTCCCCGTGTGTGGTCAGAGGCAGAGGTGCTCTGACTTTTGGGTCAGTTTTTGGGATTGGTTATCAGAAAAAGACTCTGTGCTCATGGACACAGAAGCATCTCAAATCACTCCCTATTCATACCCCAACAAAAGGCAGCATAGGATTGAAATTTGCTGTGGCCACACTATCTGCTTATTTTTTCCTATACTTCATCTTCAAGCTGTTTATAACAATTTGATAATGACTGTAGCCTACTCCAGGGAACGTGCTTTAGTTGGGGGTTGGACCGGGGGATCTCCACAGGTCCCTCCAACCACTACAGTTCTGTGATTTCAAAGGACTTCTCTAAACTGCTTCAGTGACAGTATGAGAAGAGACTTGACAGACGTGCCGTGCACATGGGGTGGGTTGTATCACATCTAGTAAAAAGCCCCAGAGGTAATTTTTCTTTATGAGTTAATTAATGTGAAGAGAAACAAAACATATCATGTTCTCTTGGGTACGATGGCTACTTTCAGCTCTGGAATTTAAAAGGAATACTCATAGGTACCATGTAGAATTTACGTATGTCTCCCAGTACTGGTAATAAAATGACAGCAGATCAAAAAACATTAAGGGAATCTGGGCTTTGCTCTCTCCCCTGCTTTCTCCTTGTTTACCATCCTGTCCGTTCGCATCGGCCGTGCTCTGTGCACTGGCACCTCAGGGAAGCATTGCATGGGCTGTGCCGTCAGCCACGAGGCTGTGCTTGGCCCCACGCTGCCTTCCTGCTGCAAGCAGCCACAGGAGCTGAGCAGGAGGGCTTACAGCTTCCTTGCACGTGTTTGCAGTCACTGCAGCTGCTGCTCCTCTGGTTTTGCAGGGAGCAGACTGGGTGAAAGACTGCAGAAGGGGTGAAATCCGGACTGCTGCTCCTACTCATGCCCTGGACTGAAGTTCCCTAAGATTAGGCATTTTTTCACTGATTTCAATAGGATTTTGAACTGGGATGCTCTGCTGGTGCTATTTTGTTCACATTAATCTGAAGTCTAGGCCAGGTTGGTATCTGCAGGGCAGGCTGAGAGCCCATGTGCTGCTCTCCCAGGAGCACAGGGTGCACACAAGGTCGGGTCAGTGCCTTCATCTGAGCACAGCGTGGATGGGAACTGTGCTTTTCTCTTTGCCTCCCTGAGACAAAAATTAGGGCTGTCCCCAGCCAAGGTCTTGTGCCGAAGAACGGCTGCAGGTCCTGATGGCTGATGTGGGGACAGGAGCTTGCAAAGGTGTTGCAGAGGGGACAGAAGTGGGAAGAAGGGTCTCATGCCTCTTGTGAGCAGGATGCAAACATCCTTGTTCCTGTGCCAAGTTAGACGAGATCTGTCTCTCATTAGATGATATATACATTTACATATAAGCTCATTTATTCTTGATTTACATACATAACCTTCCAGTAATTTCTAAATCATTTGCATACATTTCATTTGAAGTGGCAGTTTTCCTTCCTGGAGTTAAAGCAGAGGTTCCTGCTATCCGTGCAGAGCTCAGACCTGATGGAGCAGTGGCTGCATCCCAGTGTTGCAGGAGGTACCAAGGGTTGTGCCAACTTGCTTTTAAGGTCTGTACTTAGTGACTCTTGAAAGCAGCTTTTAGGATCATCAGTCGCAGTATGCTTACAAACAATTCACCCATCTCCTGTCTTACAGAGCGGCTGTAACTGTTTTTCCCATCCCTTCCTCCAAACAAAAATGACATAATGCACTTTTATCAAGGTGCTGCTTAATTCATTTTTCCTTTAAAGTCCTTTTCCTAATGATGTTTCTTTCCTAAAGCTGACTTGGCATCAATTTGACATTAGTTCCAAGGCTTTGTATGAAAGATAAATGCAACCGCGCTCACACTCTGCAAGCCTGCCTTTGCCCAAGCACTGCAATCACGTCACCCCAGCATCATGACTGATCTAAATTGACAAGAGGAAAGATGAAAAAAGATCTGTGTTTTCTGGTAAGCACACTTTTCAAAAAGCCCTATTTTTCCTCCTTCTTGTCTTAGTAAACAGAAGTTGTTTCCCAGAAGCGAGCAAAAGGACAGAGTTGTTCTCTAAATGGTGTTTCAGGTAATTAATAGCGGTGTAATTGAGGAGCATTTTGCCTCGCTGGATGTCTCAGCCAGCAGCCACACTCATTGCTCCCTGAAGCTTCTTTCCCAACACCTTGTGTACTGCAGTTTCTTTCTCTTGCAAAAGGCATTGCTTTCAGCTTCGCTGGGCAGCTCTTTTGCACAAGAGGAACATCAAGGTAACACAGCTAAGGGGAGGGGAAATCTAACTCAGATTTTGCAGGATTCATGAAGTTTCACACTCAGGTTTCAAGATGTTGTATCTACCGAGGGAGCCATGGTCAGGAGGAAGGCAGAACGAGTGCCATTATTTCAAGCACTGTGTCAGTGGATGGAAGTACTTCTGTGCGGGCTTTCACACCAGCACAGAGCATCAGCGACCAGCTGCCGTGCAGGGAAATTGCAGCCCACATTCCTGCTGAGATTTTGCTGTTATCTGCAGGAATTTCAGCTTCCTTTCTAAGCTGCAGCAATTTCACTGCATGGGAGGTGGTTTGGAGCAGCTGCAAAGGATGAGGCTTGCATAAGGGCTGTGTTTAAGTGACAGGAAAAGCTTCCTCATGGGCAGGAACTCACTCCTCAGATTGCTTTTGCTACAGGAACCAACTAAATGCTCCCTCTGTAAAACATCCTTTCCAATCTGGGAATGCTGTTGTTTCCATTTAGAATGTTTCCATGTAATTTTTAAGAGAATGGGTGTGAGTTCCACGCGTGGAGGAAATCCTTGAAATAGTGATCCCTGAGGACTGGGCTCTTGCAATGAATAGTGCCTCTCTTTGGCTCCTAGTTCTGTGCACCAGGTGCTGCTTTCCAACTTACGGAGAAGGTATTCCGAGCTGTCATGGTCGTAGTCATTGTCTTCAGGGAAGTGGTTGATTCGGAAGCAGTGTCCTTTGTAGATTCCTAAATGAAAACAAAGCAAACAACACATATTCAAGAGAAGCAGGTAGAAGTCCCTCCGTCAGCTCTGCTTTACTCTCCTTCCCTCTTTCTATAGAGTACTCTACTTGTGCAACTAATTTGCCACTGATGTTTCATGCCATCAAGAAACCATCTCTTAGGTTATGAATTTGGAGCAAGTTGACCAGAAGCTCAGCAGCAGGAAAGGACAGCCAGGATTTCCCTGTTATTCTCTTAACTCTGCCACTAGTATCCTTGAGTTTTTTAATCTCTCTATGCTTTATTTTCTCAATGCTGTTCTTATCTTTGTAGGATACCAAGTCTGCAGAGCTGCTTTTTCTTTCTAGCATAGCTGTCCCTGTGGGTCCCTGCCCCACATCATGAGTTACACTGGGCACCGGAGCCATGCTCATCCCCGTGAGCTGCTGCTTTCCTTATCAGAGCTGCTGGATGTTGAACTGTCTGCTGGCTCTTCAATTGGAAAACATGTCCATAAATCTCCTCCTGCTGCGACTTCAACCTGCACGTCCCCCTCTGAAGGTTGGTTCAGTTCTTAATGGCACATTTGCTCAGCTAGCTGGTAGCCCGTGCAGGAAGCCAGGCTGTGAGCACGTACTCCTGAGGCCCACAGGAACAATGCCAGGTTGGATGGGTGAACAAGGCAGAGCATTCAGCACTTTGTCCACCTGCATAAAGGTTTGCTTTATAAAAAGTGTTTTATCTTACTTTCTATGATTACGCAGAATCTGCAGCCGGTCTCAGCCTGGGTGCTGTGCCTGCTGCTGCAGGAGCTGCATGGGGAGGTCCGTCTGAGAGCTTCCTGCAGCAGCGTGGCCCTGAGGTGTGATCCTGCCTTGCTGCTTTCATTATTCATTAAGCAGCGCTTTGGTGCTCAGGAGCATCCATCACCCTGGGGGAGTTATCTTCTGCGCTGGAGTTTTGGTACTTACAGCTCTAGCTGGCAGAAGGATTTAAAAACCATCACTTAATACGACTTTAACAGAAGCACAGCTGCAGTCTGTAGGATATAACCGTGGATTTATTTCACTACCTATTACCAATGATTACAAAGATCTCAAAAGAATTACTAATCCACGGGATTTCAATTGCACCCTCTGAGTGTCAACTGCAGGTTTGCTACTACAGTGTATTTAATTCTTCCAGCAAATGATAGATCTGCTCTAATTGTGGGAACGGCTCTGGCTTTCCCTGTACAGCGTTTCAGGGGCTGTGAAGAACACAGCAGGGCTTCTGGTGCAGAAGGCAGTGCCATGCCAGTGCAGACCCACTGAGCACATTCCCCTCGTGTCCCCCTGCCCCAAATTTGGGGCTGCATGTATCCCAGCAAGCCCAGATTTTAAAGATCCCGCTGTTTGTTTTTATGGCAGCTCACACAAGGAAACCTCTCCCAGGATAACAGATCCTCTGAGATGGGATGGGTATTTCTACGAGCCTTTTCACTATAATAGGCAAAATTAGAGGAAATACATTCAGAGTATGATTTATTTTCCTTCCTGTGCAAGAAGAATAAATAGAAAATAGTCCTCTCATGCTAGTATCCTGTGGAAATAGGCCTTTCAATGGCACTCTGCTTCTGTGCATACAGGTTGGGTTCCTGGGCAGGCTGCAGGTATCTCTTCAATAAGTTGTAATTCAGTTGATTGAATTTATCTGGAGTTGGTAGAAAAGCAGAAGTTTCACAGGGAACAGAACTCTCACAATTGCTCCTTATGAAGCTCCATTGCCTGGGCATGGGCAGCAGCCCAAACAAATGTCCTGCTTCCAGAAATTCAATTAAGAGACACAAAGTCTGCAAAACCAAATTCCCCAAGCCTCTGGTGTCTGCAGAGCTGATGGATTGTGGGAGGGTTTCAGCCTCCGTAAAATGGCTGTATGTTATTAAAGTTTGGAATGAAATGGGCCCCTTAGCAGAACTTTCTCCTGCAGTGAGGCCATGGAGCCATCCCTTCCACTGCAGGGCTGAAATGTGCCAGCAGGACAGGGGGGGTTGGGATTAACAGTGTCTGGCTTTCTCCTGGGTTGTGGCTTTGACCCTCTGTCCTTTATACCCTGAGCCTCTCCCACCAGGACTAGCAGAGGTAGAAAAAGATAATCTGTCCTAAGCAGAAAATTCTAGAAGAGCTTGAGAATTCCTTTTCATTTGCAGTTTTTAGGGATATAGAGGTTGATCATTCTGACCAGCCACAGTACATGGCTGTGAAACTTGAATCTGTATCAATGCCTGGGAATACAAAACATTCCTCCCAGTCCTTTTGCTATAGTTGAGATCATGGATATTGGTTCAGGGTTCTCTCTAGTGTCTGTAATACTGGATAGCTAATGACAGCAACAAACTGGATAATTTTTTTCCATAATCCTAATAGGTGTCATGTAACTCAGTGACAGCTCATTGAACCCTCAGTGAGGCTTGAAGTTGCTATCAAGAGCTCTGATGATCTACAGGGCGTGGAGGACTCTTTAGATCCCTACAGCATCAAAAACGTACTTTTGCCAGGATATGTAAGAATACTTATTCTGTATTTTTTTCATAATGATGGGCTTTGAAACTCAGATTTGGAACAAACTCAAAGTAGCCAGGCTGGAAGCTGTTGAAGCAGTGGTTGGTATTTAAAGCACAACATCAGTCATACTTGTACTTAAACACAACGATACAAACACCCTCCTTCCCTCGAGATCCGGCAGCGTACTCAGTTCCATGTCCTAACAGGTAAAGCAATGCAAAAGAACAACAGCCGTGAAACAGAAGCAGCAGAAAAAGGAAATGGCTCAATTAACTTCAGCAACTACCATTCTGCAGTGTCTACCCAAAGTAGGAACTCCTGGAAGCTCTTCTCGAGGACTTTGTAGGGCATGTCTCGAAGAAATGCATAGAATCATGGAATTATTAAGGTTGGTAAAGACCCTGCGACATCTCAAAGCCCAACCCCAGCCCACCTCCATGCCACTGCCCACATCTCTGTGGTTCTGGAACACCTCCAGGGATGGGAACTTCCCCACCTCCTGGGCAGCTGTGCCAATGCCATTTTCCACACCAAGATGTGATGTGGAAGGGAGAATTTTTGTTTGCATGAGTGCAGGAATACAATCTCTTACATCCTTTGGAAGGGAAGATGGAATATTTAACTCATAACTCTGTATCCACTAGAGAGAGATAAATAAACTGCAACCACTGCCTAACAGATATTAAAATATTGAGAAGCACTTCTGTATACCTCTTGAGAGTAAGATAAAACATCCCACCGAGATGCTGTAAGTATTACGCCTTTCTCCAAATGATTACTGATATGTTTAAATGATGCTTTTATAAATACAAACATTATAATGCATTTTTTTCTCCTCATAAGAACTTCATTCTGAATGTAGAGCCAAGACTCAGGATCTGGGCTAATGATGAGGAAGAGGCAAATTTTCTGAAGTGCTGCTGATGTAAGAATGTTTTTTTCCCTTGGTTGCTGCATACTTAGCTGGCATTTAAAAACTGAGAGTTGTTTCTGACTCGGCTTCACTCTGTGTTCAAGGGCTTCTTCCATAGGATTAGCACTTCTCAACCCCACTAAGTGTTCAGATACCTATAATTAGAGTGTGATGTACTCAGATAATATGATAAGGGGGTAAGCGTAGGACCTAATCAAGATTAAGCTTTGTTTTGGGCTTTGGGATCTCAAGTTCATTGAGTTTTCAGCAGTAAATCAAAGTAGTGATCTTAACTTATGACAGCATGCTGCTTTTCCTTGCTCTTCCTCACATATTCCTTCAATAACACAGCCTGTACTGTTGCAGAAGTGTTCAGTGGGGCTATATTTTTGGATCACTGAGAACAATAATGCTGTAGGAGGCAAGGTCTGATCAACCTTGTTTGTTTTTTTTTGACACTGGATGCATCCTGTGATCACATCACTGCTGGTCATTCCATCAGCCATTGGTTTCAGTCTACCATTTCCCATGGTTTGTCAGTGACAACATTCCCTGGTGGCCTGGAAGTATTTGCACAGATGAGCTCTGGAAGACAGAGCACCTCACGTCTGACAGCATTTGCCCAAGCTGTACTTCTGTTCCCCATCCCTCCCCCGTAATTTAGAGAACCACACAGCAATGTCTTTCCAAAGCATACTGCTCTGTTGTCATTTAAAATAGGTTTCCACCATGCAAGATGCTAGCAGCTTTGCAGCAGAGGACCTTGTCTGCAGGGTACTTCTGTCAATAGCAATTTCCATCTCCCTGCTCTGAGCACGAGCTTTCGGGAGGCAATATCTGATAGCAGTGGGAGACACATGAGGATAAATGGGGCTAGCTGCTGCCTCCTTCTCCATCAGCAGCTTCTGCAGAGCTGGTGCTTGGTTAACTATTTCGTCTACCAGCAGTCTCACCCACCCTGTTGGTAAGACTGCAGTAAAACAGCAGTTTGGGGACTTATTCGTGCTGGCTTCCTTGTGAGACACCAGGCATTTGCTGCCTCCTTGGGTCAAACTCTCCTGCCAACACACCACATTCCTGTAGGTCTTGAGCAGCTACAGATACCCAGAGCACACCCACGCACACTATTAATAGAGTAAAGCAGAGTTTTCTCCTTAGGGAGGGTCTGTCGACGGAATGAGCGCTATGAATGTCAGCTGCAGAAGTGGTCGCATGGCTGCACCAATTACCTGCAGGCAGGTAGGGACAGCGAGCAGCTGCCCAGCATCACACGGAGCAGCTGACTTCTTTCTGGCAAACGGGGGTCTTCAGGGATGGTTTGAAGACGTGTAAGGAAATGACTTACAAAGATCTTCTGACAGCACGTGTTCCCAGAAACAGGGGTTATAAGCTGCAAGGAGCTGACTGCGCATTAAAGGGAGGGCAGTTGGCAGGGAACCACTTCAGTTCTGGAGCAAACCATTAGCCTGATTTACTGCAACACTGGGATGTTGGAATGTTTAGCTGACAAGCATTCTGAACGTATCAGCACAGAGCAGGCTGACTGAGACCATCCCAGCCCTCTGTCA